CCAGATAATTGTTTCTTTACTGTTCCACTACAAATTTCTAAATATATTTGAGTTGAATTAAAGGATATATCAGACCTAAGCTACGTTACCGGACCCGTCGTACCGTCCATTACTAGCCAGGTTAGGATCCTTTGGCACGGTACACTAGCATACGATGATGTGGTTTCACATGTTGCACAGTACCATCTCACGGTTTTTTTGAAAATTTGCCCATCGCAGTAATCTGAATCTGCTTTTTGCACTCCTCTTTTTTCTGACCGCCACAGCCGGCTCATTTGTGAACGGCCTTCGAGAAGGCTGAATTTGAGCTGAAAGCATGATAAATCTTAAAGCATGATAAACTACTCCAAACGGTTAATAACTTACAAATTATTTTAACAGGAAATGAGAGTTTTTGGCTTTTTTGGTACTATGAGGGAAACAGCCAAACGAACCGTTTGATGGATTGTCCTTACCGGCCAATCAGCTCAATTTGCCGCCTATCAAAATCAGTTTGACATAATCACCTGTTTTAAAAGCTTTTTAAGCCGTCCTTTTAAAGCTAAAGAATGCTGGTTCTGAAATGTCTGACCGCTTGGACTTATGTGCAGAAATCCTGAAAAGAAATTTTAAATAGCGGTTGGGAAATGAAGTACAGCAAATAAATCAAATGAGGAAAGGAGAAAGTAGATCACATATTTCTTGCCGTAATGAACAGCAGTTGCGACAAAGCAGGACAGAGTGAATGAATAGGAAGAATTAAAAATGAAGAGAAAAGGTTGAAAAAAAATGAAAATAACGGGCCGTCTAAGCATGCTTTCTAATTTTGATAGTTCAAATTTTTTTACTTTTTGCAGAATATCATTGCTTGCTTTATCACTTTGTTGTATTTTTCAAACAGTTGACTATTTCAAATAAAAATTCTGAGTTTTTTATGGCCTACTTCCTTGCCTACTTCCTTTCTTCACTTACAACAGGTTCGTCACTGAAATTCTTAAATCTGCGCACCAACTTATGTCGTCTTCTTATTTTCTTAATTTGCGCATTTCGTCTGATTCTCTATTGAAAGCTTCTTGCGTTTGTCAGCTTAATCGCCGTGCAGTATTGTAACACCGTCCGCACCATCCGAATTGAAGCCAACCATGTTCGTAGTGGTCGTACAATGTTTGTAAAGATGTTTGAATGTTTACTTCAAATTGGTTACTGTTACACTGGTATTTGTTTTTCAGGCGCATAGGGATTTAACAACAATAAATGAACAACATTTTTTGCAGGGGGTTGTCGGATGTTCGGTTTTCGACGACAGACTTTGCAAAAGGCGTACTATGAGGGACAAATTTTGACGACATGGTAGCGCGAAGTGAATACTGGTCAAATTTTTTCCACCGTTTGTTCTTTTCTCTCATTACTGTACTGTTCTTTTTTCGGTTATGATTTTTGGGGCATGTTGGCTAGAGATACTTAAACGTAAAAGAAGAAGGGTAATATGACTCATTTTTTACTGATAATTAAATTCTCACGTCGACCTAATGCATTTGAATCTTATATTGATATACCAAACTTTTAAAAATTTACTACACTGTTATTTCTGATGTTCTATAGTAGTGGTGACTCATTTTGGGAACCCTTGCATTTGGAGTGAAAACTTTGAGAACTTTTAACGTCTGTTTTTTTCTCGTTTGTTTCATTCTTTTGTCTTTTTGATCGCTTTCAGTTCAATAGATCTTTGCTTATAATCTGTTCATTAAACTCCTGGTTTTTTTGAGGGTGTGCCTGTCCAAGCCATTTTTTGAAAAAACTGTTTCTGAACTGTTAGTGAATTTAGATTCGCCGGGTGATTTCAAATCTTATGGTAGTAATTCTTACTCTTAGGTGAAAATGGGTGAGGAGTGGTTTTGGTTTTTAGTCGATGCAGTCCTCTTTTAAGAAACAGAATTTTTAGCCTATTTTTTGAGGTCTGTTTCTGTTTAGTCTAGTTAACAGTGTTGATATTTGTATTAATAGTTTTATGGGCGGAGAAGGTATTCAGCCAAGTGTTTAAAAAAGAAAATTGGTTTGTATCGTTAGGTCTTAGCACTAGATACTTAATTCATGATTTTATGTGCAAAGAAGACAGTAGCAGAAAGTTGCAGTTTTGGTGGTGCCTGATACCAAATAAATACTGATAAGGAAAGTAGAGGCTAAAGAAAAGGCTTCAGAAGGTGGAGCTATACAGGGGAACATTGAAGAAGTCGAGCTTCTAGTGTTTCTAGTGCAGGATTGGTAATGTGGATTTCTGAAGTGTAGAAAACTCCATCTCATTTTGTACTCATTACCTTTCAATCATCATTATTTCCTTAAACCATAAGTAAGAAATTTCGGTTTTTTAAGGGGTTTACTTAGAGCTTAATAAGTGATAATTGGAAGAAAAAGGGAATTTTTTGCTTTAAAAAATGATGTTTCGAACATATTAAAGTTTTTGTCATATTTGCTGAGCGTAGTTATTTTGTTTCATACCGTTTTTACCTTCTCCATTTTTACATTCCGATTTTACTAAGTAAAGGATGTTTTATCTGTTTTGCAGGGATTCTTCGAAATGAACACTCTTGAAGTCTATCCAAATGTGGAAGCCATAAATGGAAGCTTGCTGAGTCTTCTTGTAGAAAGTGCTGTTGATTGGGCCCATGTGAGTTAATGCAAATATTGTTTTTTTTTTTGCTCTACTACTTTTTTTCAACGTTGTACGCCTCAGGATCCCTGAAATTTAGGCAGTCGGTATGGTAATGCGTACGTCAGACAGGAAGGATTCAAGTGATATCTGTCAAACAGCACCTTTTACGTTGCTTCCTTCACCATTTCCTCGTAATCTGTTTGAACAAGCAATGGATGTGCAGGAGGTGATGACTAGTTTTACAAGATTACTGATAATCTAATTACAGCTCGTACTGCCTTCTTAATTGGCTTTATTACTTCTTTTTCGCGTGATGCTGTAATAGTTCCATTAAAATCGAGCCATGTTTTTCTGTAACAGGTATAGTGGGTTTATTAAAATTCTTATTTTCTTTAGTTCAGTTTATATAATAATTTTCACATTCTGGTATTTTCAGGCTATGAATTTATTATACTTCCGAATAGCTTGGGATTTTGATTTCCTAATTGCCGCACATTCTGAAGTTGTCAAAACAGATGAGTTTGTGAGGTCGCTTTTAACTCTTCGCCGTTCTCGTCTTCAGCTTCCTTTTTTTATGAATCCGTTTCTCTTCAAGAACTTAGTCGCACCATAAATTTTAGTAGATTTTTAGGCACATGACAGATATTTTAAAAGAAGTCCGCCGAGAGGGAATCAAGCAAACGAAAACGCTTCTTACTCAACGTGCTGACTATATGTGCCACAGCACTAAAAAAGAAATGGTCTTGCGTCAAGTATGTTGATTTTTCTCTATCTAATCTCTGTTTTGAAAGAATTTGTAATTCTTCTGCTTGTCTTGGAACTTGTAATTGATTTATTCTTTTCCAGATAGAAGTCAACAACATCGCCGTTAGTATGGGGAGTTTAAGCGAAAGAGTGACTACTTTGCACCAGAGGACATTGCAAGATCTTGGAGTCTCAGAAACAATCATAAAAAGTGCCATACCTGAGAACAAACCAATATCTACAATTGCCAGAGGTCTTTATGA